ATCCATCCATCCATCCATCCATCCTCTTCTGCTTGTTCTGAAGTCGGGTCACGGGGGCAGCAGCTTGAGCAGGGGGGTCCAGACATCTCTTTCCACAGCCACCTCTACCAGCTCTTCTGGGAGGATTCCAAGGCGTTCCCAAGCCAACCGAGAGACATAGTCTCTACAGTGTGTTCTGGGTCTTTCCCGGGGTCTCCTCCAAGTCAGACATACCCAAAGCACCTCCCTAAGGAGGCACCCAGGAAGCATCCTTGCCAGAAGCTCGAACAACCTCAACTGGCTTCTCTCGATGTGGAGGAGCAGCGGTTTTACTCTGAGTCTCTCCCAGATAACTGAACTTCTCACCCTATCTCTAAGGGAGAGTCCAGCTACCTTGAGGAGGAAACTAATTTCAACCGCCTGTATCCATGATCTCATTCTTTTGGTCATTATCCAGTTCTTGTGACCATAGTTGAGAGTAGGAACGTAGACCAACCAGTAAACAGAGAGCTTTGCCTTACAGCTCAGCTCTCTGGTCACCACAATGGACCAGCACAGAGTCTGCAATACTGCAGTTGCTGCACCAATCCATCTGTCAATCTCACACTCCATTCTTCCCTCACTTGTGAACAAAACCCCAAGATACTTGAACACCTCCACTTGAGGCAGAACCTCATCCTGAACCTGAAGAGAGTAATCCACCCTTTTCCAGTTGAGGACCATGACCTCAGAATTGGAGGTGCTGATTCTCATCCCAGCTTCTTCAAACTCAGCTGTGAACTGCTCCAGTGAGATCTGAAGATTACGGCACGATGACGCCAACAGGATCACATCATCTGCAAAGAGCAGAGATGGAATCCTGAGACCACTGAACCGGAATCCCTCCGTCCCCTGGCTGCACCGAGAAATCCTGTCCATAAAAGTTATGAACAGAATCAGTGACAAGGGGCAGCCCTGGAGGAGTCCAACTCACACCCTGAAGGAGTTTGACTAACTACTGTCAATGTGAACCAAATTCTTGCACCACTTGAATAGGGACCAAACAGCCCTTAACAACAGGGCCCCCAATCCCATACTCATGGAGCACCCCCCACAGTGTATCCCAAGGAACACGGTCGAAAGCTTTCTCTAAGTCCACAAAACACATGTAGACTGGATGGGAATACTGGTGCCAAGTGCACTTATGGACACCCTTATGTTTGTGATGGACAAACTGTGACTAGCACAGAAGTCCAACAATAGAACACTGCTCAAGTTCAGACCAGAGAGGCTGTTCCTCCCATCACGCCCCTTCAGATCACAATGGTCAATACAAACGTGGGCACTGAAGTCTCCCAGCAGAATAAAGGAGTCCCCAGCTGGTGCACCTTCCAGCACCCATATAGGCACAAACAACAGTCAGAGTCCATCCCCGCACCTGAACACACAGGGAAGCCACCTTCTCATCTACCGTGGAAAACTCCAACGCACAGGCACCAAGTCAGGGGGCTACAAGTAGACCCACACCGGCTCGGCGCATCTCACCATGGGCAACTCCAGAGAGGAATAAAGTTCAGCCCCTCTCACTGTCTGACATCCATCCATCCATCCATCCATCATCCATCCATTATCTTTTATCCGCTTCTTCCTTTTTGGGTCGCCGGTGGCCATGTGCATCACAGGGACTGACATGTCAAAGTTAAAACAAAGATCTTGTGTGATCTGTTACTCAGAAATTGTGTTGGGGCTGACTTTCAGCTGCTATCATCAAGTTTTAGCTCAGTATTCATGAAACTGTTGTAGCTTTATTTGGGTTTCTGTTGGTGTGACAACCTTCTTGACTCCAACTGTTTTTCAATTGGAGTCATTACATGACTGCCCGCCTTTCGTGGAGGTATGTGCTAACAAAGCCCTTCAGGTCCTTCAACGTGAACTGGAAACACTGGAAAAAAGTTTCACATAATTACCAAACTTGTTTTCATCAGGGGAAAAATTACACCCTTTGGTAATACTCAGAGATTTTCTCTAAAGCACCTAAAATTATGAGAGGGGGACTTTGTCCTCAATTACTCTGTGGAATCTGCAAATACTTTGGAAGGAACACAGCTGGACTTTTAATGACTTTTAACGGCACACAATTGTGATAATCATTTGCTGGAGGAAGAGAAGGAAACAAGCAGACCACACAATCCGAGTGACAGACACTAAGAGCACTGATGGAAATGTAAAAAAAAAAACGTGCAGATGTTTTCTAAACTCAAATATTTATGGGAAAGTTAAGATATCTCATGGCTTGAACTAAAACATTATCAACAAAGTTAAAGAAAAAAAAACTTCAGACTTTCTCAGAGCAGAGAAAAGGCTGTGTCCAAAACAAGTTGAGACGCTGCGTAGAATAAAAGAAGAGTGTGATTTTCTTTTTTAACGGTCTTCTTGTTGTGGATTTGATATCAGCAACGTGTTTACCACAGTGATGCAGCCCCAAGTTGTTTGACCAACACCCTGAATTGTAACACCACATACAACTACATGGTTCTGTGCAAAAGTCTTGAGTTATCCCTCGTTTCTTTATTTTTTGCCCCAAAGAGTCAAGACATTATAGTGACCTTCTGAAGTGGTTTTTAAAATAGTTCTTCCGAAGGTTGTTTTTTCTTGAAATCTCTTATGGTGACATTTGCACCATCAGAGATTCCACTAGTACAGGGCTCTGCAGTCTTTATGATCAAAAGAGCATTTCTGCTCTTTTGCACACTAAATAAAACGTCTATGGAGCCACAAGACCTCTAAAACTGTGATTATCAACTGGTGGCTCATGGGCCACTTCAAGCCTGTTGGAGGGGGGTTTTGGCCAGTATGTGTGATATTATGAAATTAAAATATAAAATTATTATTAATGTTGAAAGTTTATATATTTTAGGGCAAAAGAAAAGATGGATTCATGTAAAGAATAATATATTACTAATTTTGTAAAAATTCAAACACAAGTATGCAGTCTTATGGGAGTTTTCTTTTTAATTGTGGAAATGATTCATAAAGTATGAAGTAATAAAGCATAAAGTTAAAAATTAGGCCAGTTTGTTGGATATGTGATTGGATTTTAAAATGAAAATAAATACTTTCATTTTCTTTGACTTTATGTCTTTAATTTTTATTGTTATCAAGTTTAATTTTTATTGTTATCAAGTTGACTCATCATATTTCTTCTCAGCAACTTGCCTTAAAGGTATTCACCACAAAACATTTGGTGGATTTGAATAAAAAAAGATCACAACGTAAGACTGGAAGTGAACTAAAAGAAGTGGCTAACAAACTACTAGCATCATGTAGTCAACAAGTTTTACTCTTTGTGTTACCATCATGCACATGCTGGCAAAATAAATCAGTAGTTAGTTCAACAACCAATAAACTTCAGTTTTATGTTAGTTTTGGTCCAAACTTGGAGCCGCTGCAGACGGACCAAAGAACCGCAGGTTCAGACCCCAGCACTAGTTTTAGAGCAACCTCTGAACTCTGGTTAATGTGTTGTTTTATGATGGTGACAAGCCCTAGCTGTTGTCTGATGGACCCTTCCACATGAAAAGTGCTCTTTATGCCACATATGAACATATAAATGCATCTTTTGGTCTCTCGACTTTGTGGTTCAGAGGTCATGAGTATACCTTGCCCGTGGGATCGTCTCCTCCGGTGCTTCGGTTGGCTCTTCCCAGTAAAGACAACATTCACTCTCTGTGCCCAGATCGTCTGGCTGCCTTCGTCTGACACGCCACAGCGGGGCTCTGCCATCTGCTGCAGGGTGGCGCTGTCCAGCTCTCCTGTGATGGCTAGATGGGACAGCCACTGGAACTCTCTGCGGAGAGACAAGACTGCTGAACCCTGCTAGTAAACCATGGGACTTCTGCTCAAGTTAGGACTTTTACTGTCATGTCTCTGCTTTTCACAGATGGAGGTGGATGGAAAAAACAGAAAAAGCTCATTATGCTATAAAATGATTAGTAATTTATTTAAATGTAATCTTATGACAGTTCATTGTTAACATAAATGTCATTTTACTCATTGTCAGATTATAAAACATCCAATTTCAATGGGTTGTTTTTACAAAAGTTGGATTTGCAAATTTGAATTTATTGTGGATTTTCTCTAATTCACACAGGGTGATAATTATATATACTGGTTTGCATTTATCTATACATTCACCACAATCTGCTAGTGAGTGGTGCTGAAGGTTCTACAATGGTCTTGACTGGACTTGATTGACTGCAGCTGGTTCCTCTTTGCCCTTCAGAGCATTTATTTGACAGAACTAATACCCAGAACAACGGGAAAGTCAAAGGTACTTCGTGAAAATTGAAGAAAACAAGAGATTTGGTTTTGACGTTCAGGAACAACTCATAAACTACCAAAGCTCAATCCTGCTATGAGTTGGAAATTGCTGGAATTTGTGAAATGAAGTCAGTCTTACATCATTATGGAGTGAGAGGGTGCCGAGCAAGAAACAAGCTCCCGCTCTAAAAGTGACACCTTCAAGCTCGAATGAAATTTACAGCTGCCTGCATGAAGGAGCCAAATGCCTTCTGGAGAAAAGTTTTATGGCCAGAAAATACAAGAACCAAGTTATATGGCCACTGTGACAAGAGTTATGTTTGAAGGAATCAAGGTGAGGCCTACAGGTGTGCAGTGGAGAGCATCCTGTGCTCCAGCATCAACGTGTGGCATGGAGGCTGCACAGCTGCAGAAAGAAAAGCTCTGCAGAGAGTGGTGAAGGCTGCACAGAAGATGTGTGAGTCAGTCTCCCCACCATCACAGACATCTACACCTCCAGATGCAGGAAGAGGACCACCTGCATCATGAAGGACCCCACTCACCCAGCACACACACTTTTTTCCCCGTTCCCCTCAGGCATGTGGTTGTGGAGCATTAAGTGTAGAACCACTAGACTGAGGAACAGCTTCTACCCTGATTCTGTAAGACTCACGAATCTCTAACCAGAATAATAACTGTGAAAATCACATCATGTTGCTGCTGATCTGTTTCAATGTTGATGCTGATCTGTTTCATGTTGCTGCTGATCTGTTTCATGTTGCTGCTGATCTGTTTCAATGTTGTTGCTGATCTGTTTCAAAGTTGCTGCTGATCTGTTTCATGTTGCTGCTGATCTGTTTCAATGTTGCTGCTGATCTGTTTCATGTTGCTGCTGATCTGTTTCATTTTGCTGTGTTCATTCGTGCTCATCTGCTCACACAGACTCATGTTCGTGCTGCTGTTCAGTGTATTGTTTTTATGCTACTAGTGCTTAGCGTATTTTTAGTTGATGTTTTTCTTAGTTCATATCTTTGATCTTATTACTGTTTTTCTTTTACATTTTAATGGTGCAAATGACAAATAAAGAACCTTGAATCCCTTGAATCCTTGAAACCTACATCAACACTCACTGTCAAGCATGGTGGGGGTGGCATCATGTACTGGTGCCTTGCACAAAGTGGATGGAATATTGAAGAAGAACTGTGCCTCCCCATTCAGCTACATCTTAAACTTTTTCAGGTCTCTCTTGTAAATGAGTCCCAGAGACTCTATGGGATTAACCTGTATAAATAAAGGTTGAATGAAAACTAACAGTTAAATGTCCCGATGCATGCTCAATAATCCAGGTGGATAAATCTAACAAGGCTGAGTCAGGTCCTCTGGACGATTCTTCTTTGTTGAAACTATCAAAGTAATGTGTGTTATATGCCCCCATCATGCTCAATAACTCTCCTGCTGAGTTCATATGCGAGTGATATTAACTGTCCCATGTAATCACGCTTACTGTGACCGGTCATTGAGGAACAGAAAAACCTAGTTCTATTATTCTCAAGGTTTGCTTTATACAGTATAATACTGATATGATATGGTGACGTGTATTTAAGAAGAGTCCCTGACTTGGATCCACTGCTTCCTTGTCTGAGAAGACCTTTCTATGACAGCTCAGACATGGAGGGGAGGAGCTGAGGGCTGGAGGTCATTCTATAAAACTTTTACTCTGGGAAGTGAGAGCAGGTCAGCGTTTCAGATGGATGAGAGCATTGATAAGAGTGCAATCTTACAGTGCATTTAATGTTCTGTGAATGCTGGACTGCTCTCCAAAGCTTTGTAAAAATCAGATGAACTACACCTCGGTCTGTTTGGAAGGCTCTTTTTATCCACAATAAAACGCTTCGTCTTTTATCCAAAAGACTTGAAGAAGCCTGGAATCCATCCAGAGGACCTGACTCTACCTTGTTAGACAACAGTGGTTGGAACTTGGACACTACTGACTGTTCCAACAAGACAATGATCCCAAACACATATTTCTGATTTGTGATTGACCAACACTGGCTAACATTAAGCTTCTGGTAAGAACTTCCCAAAACTCTGACCTAGCCTAGACCTTGGTAAATACGAGGTAAATATGAGGTCTATGCTCTGTGCCAGGCAACTAATCAATTTAAATAAAAAAGCAATTCTCGCAAAATGTTATCAATTATCCTGTCAAGTGTTGTGCCAGAAGTTTGTTGATAACTACAAAAAGTGTGGGGTCAAGGTGCAACTTGCTAAAATAATTTAACCAAATAATAGCAGTGATGTTTGCAGCAACGTGTGAAACAGCTTGGATGGGTCAGCTCCTCTAAGACCGAGGTCAGCTGGAAACGGGTGGAATGCCCCCCTCAGGTCCCGGGGAGTCTTTGCCTCAAGTGGAGGAGTTCAGGTATGTGGGCATGTTGTTCAGAAATAATGGTAGGATGAAGGGCGAGATGGATCTACAGATCAGAGACTTGTTCTCTGTAACAAGAGTGTTGCTTCGGCCAGTCGTGGTGAAGATGGAGCAAAGTCTGAAGCAAAAGTTCTTGAGTTACTGGTTCCAACCCTCACCTGTGGTCACGAAGTGATCATGACTGAAAGAACAAGATCCTGGATACAAGCGGCCAAATTGAGCTTTGGGTGGCAGGGCTCAGCCTTAGTGAAGTTCCAACTGAGGTGGTTTGGGCATCTGATTCGGATGCATTCCAGAAGTCTCCCATTGGAGGTTTTCTGGGAATGTTCTACTACAAAGAGGGCCCCAGGCAGACCCGCAAGTTGATGGAAGGGTTACTGCATGTATCCTCTCTGATCTGGGAATGTACTGGAATCCCCCAGACAGAGTTAGAGTGTCACCGAAGAGGGATGTCCTGGACCTGTTGCCTTTGCAAAGCAACCAAAGAAAAGTGGTAGAAGATGAAGACAGAGATGACAAAACGGACATAGTGTGAATGTATTACTATTTTTGAGCCTGGTTATAAAATCCACAATGAATTGTACACCAAACTGTCCTGATGCATGCTTGATAATCCAGGTAGATAAATCTAACAAGGTTGAGTCAGATCCTCTGGATGGATTCTTCTTTGTTGAAATGTTTCGTCTTTTATCCAAAAAACTTCTTCAGTCTGCAAAGTTTCAACAAAGAATCCATCCAGAGGACCTGACTAACCTTGTTAGATGTACAAATTCTTGTTTTTAGTAAACAAGGTCGCCGGATTGAATCCTGGTCAGGGGCCTTTCTGGGTGGAGTTTGCATGTTCTCTCCATGCTTGCATGGGTTTTCTCTGAGTACTCCGGTTTCCTCCCACAGACCAAAAACATGCATGTTAGACTGATTGGTAACTCTAAATTGTCTCTAGGTGTGAGTGAGAGAGTGAATGGTTGTTTGTCTCGTTTGCATGAATAAATTTGTTTGGATGGATGTTGTAAACGTATCGTACCCCGGAGAAGAAAAAACACTGTTCAAAAGAATCATTAAAAGCCCAAAGTGAACAAGACATCCTGCTCATCATGAGTGAATGTAAACCGACTGCAGCTGTAAGTACGAGATGAATATTTTGACACACTTTATTACAAACCCAACCCTCTGCCCAAGAATTTAGTGCAACTAGATTTCCAGTCAGCTCCTGGGACATTGAGAAGATGAGCCACAAGGCAAGCTTCCTGAAATTCCTTGGTGGTTCAGAGCGAGTTCAAGAGATGTTTCCAGTGAAGAACCGAGGGTGTGTTTTACAGATTTGTCCCATCGTTCTGCCCTGAGGTTTGTCCTGCGTTGAGCTCACAAGTCCCACTTACAAAACTACTAAACACAATCAGCTCCTCCATTTCAACAGGCAAAAGAAAAAAATGCACTACTCCACCCAGAAGTTGTTTAACTTCAGGACTTTGCATGTCCTACTTGAATTCATCTCTGTCTCAACCCTGATATCACTCACCGGATGGCCGACTGCATCTCAACTGAATTGTGGATCTGGTGCTCGTTATGGAGATAACCATACTTTTCCAGAAAATCCTGCAACAGAAATTGCACATATTGCTGACACATCTTTTTAAATTAAAAACTAAAAATATAATAAACGGCATTATAAGTTTTATTCAGCTAATCTAGCTGCCAGGGAGCACAAGCCAGTGTTGTGCAGGTCCCAAGCCTGGGTAAATGGTGAGGGTTGTGTCAGGAAGGGCATCCGACGTAAAACACTACAATATTGCCTAAATTAACTTGAGCTCATTTAAATGACACCATACTGGATCAGTCGGGGCTCGGGTTAACAACAACTGCCACCGGTGCTGTTGACGACTGGGATGGCAGCAGAAATTGTGCTGTTAGTCAAAGACCATGTGGAGGGAAACGAGACAGAGGGAGAAGAGGAAAGTCGAGAATATAGGACTGAGGGTTGCAACTCTAAATGTGGGGACAATGACGGGCAAAGGTAGATAGATTGTTGACATGATGCAGAGAAGGAAGGTAGATGGTCTCTTGGACACATAAACGTGGAAAGGCAGCAAGGCTCACAGCATTGGAGCAGGGTTCAAACTGTTTTATCATGTGTGGATAGAAAGAGAAATGGAGTAGGGGTGGTGCTGAAGGAGGAGTGAGCAAAGTATGTAGTAGAGGTGAAAAGAGTATCAGATTGTGTGATGTGTCTGGAGGTAGAAGTAGAAGGTCTGATGTTGAATGTCAAGCCAGACTAAGATGGTTTGGACATGTCCAGAGGAGGGGCAGTGGGTATAATAGCAGGATGTTAGAAACGCATCTGCCATGAAAAAGACAGAGGAGATATATGGATGCAGTTAGAGGACATGGAGGTAGCTGGAGTGAGGACAGGGGATGCAGAGGACAGAGATGGAGGATGACTTGCTGTGGCGACCCCTGAAGAGGGAACAGCCAAAAGAAAAAGAAGTTTTATTTGGCTGCATATTCACATAGACCACCCATACAACCAAAATCCCTCAGGTGTACCTAAAATTCACAGCTATTATTTAGAAGGAATTTTCTCATAAACACGAATCTTGAAAACAGTGCTAGCAGAAACAAAACCCCTTGAAAAAATGAACCAACGGTACATGACAAACAGATGTTGCATGTGGTAATTTAATCTGGTTTGTAGGTGGTTTCATGTTGAGACAGCTCTGCAGCCACAACAATGACTGAAGATGTTGAGGTGGAAATGAAAATAACCAGGAACAGGAGGACAGATGTGTTTCGGCAATAATGAGACATGACATAAAAATAATCCCTAGTCTGATTAGAAACACTGAACATACTATTCTGTTGGGTAAACATGTAACAGCCTGATGCACCAATTTTATACAAATCAAAGCACATAAAGCAGCTTCAAATCTGATTTATTGTTCATTTCAGTTACAAGTAGACAATGTGTCAGCCCCAAACACTAAAACTGATGGTTGGTCCCACAGGAGAGGAGTATGAGCACTGAAAGCTCTGCCTCCCATTCTACTTTTACAAACTCTAGGAACCACAAGTACAAGTGCTGGTCATAAAATTATCACAAAAAAGTTGATTTATTTCAGTAATTCCATTCAAAAAGTGAAACTTGTATATTATATTCATTACACACACACTGATATATTTCAAATGTTTATTTATTTTAATGTTGATTATTATAACTGACAACTAATGAAAACCCCAAATTCAGTATCTCAGAAAATTAGAATATTAAGACCAAAAATTTTTTTAATTTTTAGAAATGTTGGCCAACTGAAAAGTATGAACATGAAAAGTATGAACATGAAAAGTATGAACATGAAAAGTATGAACATGAAAAGTATGAGCATGTACAACACTCAGTACTTAGTTGGGCTTCTTTTGCCTGGATTACTGCAGCAATGTGGCGTGGCATGGAGTCGATCACTGCTCAGGTGTTGAGAGCCCAGGTTGTTCTGATAGTGGCCTTCAGCTCTTCTGAATTGTTGGCTCTGGTGTATCACATCTTCCTCTTTACATTACTCCATAGATTTTCTATGGGGTTAAGGTCAGGCGAGTTTGCTGGCCAATTAAGAACAGGGATACAATGGTCATTAATTAAACCAGGTACTGGTAGTTTTGACACTGTGTGCAGGTGCCAAGTCCTGTTGGAAAATGAAATCTGCATCTCCATAAAGTTGGTCAGCAGCAGGAAGTATGAAGTCTCTAAAACTTCCTGGTAGATGGCTGCGTTGACCTTGGACCTCAGAAAACACAGTGAACCAACACCAGCAGATGACATGCACCCCAAACCATCACTGACTGTGGAAACTTGACACTGGACCTCAAGCAACGTGGATTCTGTGCCTCTCCTCTCTTCCTCCAGACTCTGGGACCTTGATTTCCAAAGGAAATGCAAAATTTACTTTCATCAGAGAACATAACTTTGGACCACTCAGCAGCAGTCCAGTCCTTTTATCTTTAGCCCAGGTGAGACGCTTTCGACTCGGTCTCTTGTTCAAGAGTGACTTGACACAAGGATTGCTACAGCTGAAACCCATGTCTTGCATACGTCTGTGTGTGGTGGTTCTTGAAGCACTGACTCCAGCTGCAGTTCACTCTTTGTGAATCTCCCTCACATTTTGGAATGGGTTTTGTTTCACCATCCTCTCCAGGGTGCAGTTATCCCCATTGCTTGTACACTTTTTTCTATCACATCGTTTCTTTCCCTGCACCTCTCTATTAATGTGCTTGGACACAGAGCTCTGTGAACAGCCAGCCTCTTTAGCAACGACCTTTTGTGTCTTGTCCTCCTTGTGCAAGGTGTCAGTGGTCGTCTTTTGGACAACTGTCATCAGTCTTCCCCATGATTGTGTAGCTACAGAACTAGACTGAGACAATTTAAAGGCCTTTGCAAGTGTTTTGAGTTAATTATCTGATTAGTGTGGCACCAGGTGTCTTCAATATTTAAACTTTTCACAATATTCTAATTTTCTGAGATACTGAATTTGAAGTTTTCATTAGTTGTCAGTTATAATCAACATTAAAATAAACGTTTGAAATATATCAGTGTGTGTGTAAAGAATGAATATAATATAAAAGTTTCACTTTTTGAATGGAATTACTGAAATAAACTTTTTCATGATATTCTAATTTTACAACCAGCATCTGTAAACCTGCAGTCTGACAGCAAAGTGTTCTGTTAGAAAAATATTTAACAAGATATTTTTAAGTTTCTAACTTTAGAAATATTGCACACGTGGAAGAAAGCAGTCCTGCTCACTTTTTTCTTGTCTCAGTCAAAATTAACACAACAGTTCTCAACAAAAGTAGCCGCAAAGTTTATTCCTAAAATCAAGGAAGGATTAAGGAGGGCAAGGACCCCTGGGTTAGCCATTTTCGGGGCTCTATTAAAAGTTACATAAAAATACTGATCACTTTTAGATGATTGAAGTTACATTTCATTGACTGAAAAAACTCACAGCAATACTATCCTGGTGGACACAGCCCTTTGGGAAGTCGAACCCCATATATTAAGTTCTTAAAACCAGAAAACTGAATCACGTTCAGGTTTTGAATTAGTCTCTCGTCAAAATGAC